CCCCAAAACCCCAAAACCCCGTAGTACTAAATTTTGACTTAAGCCACATTGACTAAATTCAGAATATAAATTAATAATAAATATAATTTTGATAGCAATGAATTTTAGAGAAAGACTAAATAAAGGACTTAGCTAGAACGATTCTGATGACTTAGGAGTAGTTAACATATTTTCTCCTTAATTTAGAGTGAGACATAGCTAATCTTAGAGTAAAATGATGACTCCTAAGAAGTCTCCTAAATTACCCTATTTATCAATAAAGCATTAAGGAAGTAACAAAGTCCTTCTAGTGGCTAAATCCTAAAAATAACAATCTAATTTATTTTCAATGAAGGATATTTAATCAGTAGAACATGTTAGAATGTCTCATCAAATAAAAATAGCGAATGATATAAATAAAGAAATGCTTTTTAGTCCAAGCAAAGAAATTTCCTACATGCTTACTAATGAGACATCAAATGAATATGGATTGATATAAAATCAAAGGTCTCGCCACTCTAATTAATAAATTAGCCTTAGCAGCAGTTAGAATGTAGCAAAATAGTTTAATTCTAAAGTTTTGAGATATAAAAGTAATGCAAATAATGAGGGAGAAAGAAAAAGATCCAAGTACTATGAAGATTTTGAACAGTATGAAGACTATGATAGAGCAGATTTAGGAACAGCTGAGTTACAATAGAAAACTACAGTAGAAAGGTTAAATACTCGCCAATTTGTAGATTAATTCAGACACAAGAGCATTACTTTAGAAAAGAAAAGAAATTTAACTAAGCAGACTTAGTAAGAGCATGGTTCACTGATTGAGGAGTCTTAAAGTTCACTTGAGACTGATAACAACATAGAATCTGAGAATAACAGTCCATTATTGATGAAGTTTGTAAAGAGTGGAAATAACTTACAGAATTTACTGTAGCATGAAAAAACACAAACTAGAATAAATCAGTTCTAGCTAAATGCTGGTGGAATAACAGTAGGAATAGGAAACGCATATATTGAGAGTGAAGGCTAAAATAATATTTCAAAGAAAGCCTAACAGCGAATGCTAAAAACTATCACTTAGTTTAAAGTTAATCGTAATATAACAGATATTAATGAGGTGAAGTCGAGATTAGATTTATCAAAGGTTAAATTTCTAGACAAAGTTTCACAGCAAGATGAAATTGGGTAGTAAACTAGTTACTACAGATAAGATACACGAAGAAATTTAGATTTAAAAAGAGTGCCTAAGTTAGCATAAAAATATTAAAGTGAGACACTTACAAGAATCGAAAGATCTAGATCTATTAAAGTTTTAAATGAAGCTACTTATCATGATATAAAACAACTGACATAAAATGACATAATGAACTATCAGCTCAGTGAAAAGTAACCATAAAAAATTAAACCTCTCTCAGAAATTGAATAATAAGAACTTGAAGATGAATAATTTGCACTACATTCTATTGAAAATCTTAAGAGAAAAGTTAGTATCAAGGCTATAATGTAGGAAAATGCAAAAAAGTAAGAAAACTTTGAAAGGATTTATGAGAGGGGAAGGCCCAAAGTATAAACATACATTTAAAAGCTTTATGAAATGAGACTTGAAAACAAAAGAAATAGTAGGCTAGAAAAATAGCTACGTCTTTAACCACTTAAAATATCCTCTTCAGAATTATGTTTAGATGAATACTAATAGAAAAGCTAAAATTTAACTTAAACCGCAAACTCTACACTGTCAAAGTTTTCCAAGATATTTAGTCCTATCAGACACTAGATTAATAGTTAAGATAAAATGAAGCAACTCATTAAGTAAAAATTGTCAAAATACACTACTCGAATGATGCAAAGTAATAAGTTATAGAGGGAAGAAAAGTTAAAATACAATAAGAGTAAGATATTATTACAGTAATTCTAACCATTTAATTTAGAAAAGTATTATTTCATTTAAGAAGTAATAAATTGCGTAAACAATATGAAACAGATGTAGATGACAATTGATGATATAGTTAAAGGAAGAGCTAATCCTAAATGCCAATTTTCTAAAGGAAACTTGTCCCGCGAATTTTTTCAGGCAATAAAAGAAGGATAAGTCTAGAAAGTTTAATAGTTTCTAAATTATGATAGATTTCTGATATATGAACATGATAGTTTGAAAGAAACTCCTCTACATTGGGCAGCGAAAAGGAATTATTCTGATATTGTGCAATTGCTGATACAAGAAGGTAGTAAAATAAATACCTAGGATCTAGGTGGAAGAACTCCATTATTTATAGCATGCAAATTTAATCATATGAATTCTGCAAAAATGCTTTTGGCAGCTAAGGCTAATCCAAGAATTAGGACATGTAGTGGATTAGAACCGTTTGAGGCTACAACTAATTATAAATTAAAAGGCTTTATAGCAAAGGCTAAGTTGCTGCACATTTGTTTGCCGATGGTTCATCATAAGAAGAGATAATAAGTTTGGGAATATGAAGGTATTAGATATTTTATTAGCTCCGATTCTACTCTGATTGATGAATTTGTTGATATGATAAAAGTTTGAAGAAGCCTAAATTTATTTTTATTTTTTATATTACTCTATGAGCCTATTAACTTGATATTTGGGGTTTTGGGGTTTTGGGGTTTTGGGG